AAAATGAATGAGGCTTTATTACGTATTATATAATCGCTCGATCTTAAAATTTAAATTGTTTGAGGAGGATAAAATAATAAATTTTTGTGTTTTTATAATTTACTAGTTAGTTTTATTGGCTACGTACTTAAGGGCTTATATTGTGTTTGGTGGGAACGTGTTAAAAGAAATAAGTAATAGAAGAATACATCATCAAAACTATGAGCTATGACATAAATTTAACACTTTCAACTAGGGATGACAATTCAACCCACCTCGCCCCGCCTTGTCCAATTTGAAACGGGAATGGGGCATGAAATTTTGCCCCGAACAAAGTATGGGTTGGGAATAAGTTTTTTTTTTTTTCGCCCCATCCCCATCTTATTTGGAACGGAGATGGGGAGAAAAATTCACCCCAAACAAGGCTTGGGGAGGGGATGAATTTTTTTTTAGGGGATGGAGGGAGGATGGGATGGCGATCCTCGCCTTGCCCCATTGCCATCCTTACTTTCAATCACTTTTTGATCTTATTCGGTCCCAACAGACTACTCCTATGAACATATGTAGAGTATTTTTAATAATGCATCAAATTGGTTTTTTTTTTAATGGGTTTTTATTGTTTTAACACTTTCATATCAAAACTTTCGAAAAAATATATAAAGAAACATAAATTTAGTTTTTTTTTTTTTTCCAACCACAAAACACTTTAAAAACACTTTGGATGGGGCTAAAAATTCGATAACTTTATGAATGGAGTCGCGAGGATGTAAAATTGCAACTTTGTTTCTCTTCTAGTTACTTGTGCCTCTAATTATGAATGTAGCCACTAGTCCGCCCTTTTCTCTCGGAAAGACAATGAAACACTTTGATCTCCTCTTTTTTTCCCCCATTAAAGATCTAGAATTCATTCATTAATTTCGCTTTTCATTTATTTAAATACATTATTATGCTTAATTACTAAAATTATTAAAAATACATAAATTTAAATAAATTTATTAACAACTCGCTAACTTGCTAATGCATTCATCACTCGTTGATTATTATAGCAACACAAAAACTCACAAGCCACAAAAGCCAACATGCATCAAAAAACAAAAGCAATGACACCAAAATTTTACGAGGAAAACCCCTTAATGTGGAGGGAAAAACCTCGGACGGCTTCAAGATCGATTCGCTGTCATTAATATATATATATAGTTTTTATGTCTCAAGTTATTGTCCAAACTTGAAACCTATCAAAATATTGGCAAAATACCAAAAAAACTAGCTTAAGAGAAACCTCAAAATGTGATGTACAAGTGTTGCTCTCTCGTGGTCAAAATACCGGGATGTGAGGCTTATACACTAAGCCAACTTGGACTAGCTTACTCCTTGAGAAGGATTCAATGTGACTTAACATGCCACCTCTACTTGAATGAACCAAAGAAGACGAGGCCTTCAATGAGGTCTGGACCAAAAACAGGGCGAACTTATGTTACCCTAACAAAAAAGTCCGCGATCAATGAATAGCTTTCCTTTATGATCCGATAGCAATGATTATAGAATTCATTAATTAATTGTGCTTTTCATTTATTTAAATTATGAGTTCGAGTGGCGATGATTATGATGATTTAGGGATATTCTTTCATATTGTTAGTGACGTGGCATTTACTAATTTACGGAAGAGTTGAATGAGTACAACTGTTTTTTCATAATCCATTTTGTTCCTCACAAAGCAATGTAGATTTATGAATATAATCCTGTTATATTGAAAAGTAAGTCTTGTGTTTAATGAAAATTATTGGGTTTTTTTTTTTTTGTCATATTATTATGGCATATTAAATATAAATGATGTATTGCTATCCTGGTTTATATTGTCCGAAAAACTAATTAATTAAGAACAAATAACATTACTATTCATGAATGAGACATTATGAGACGAAGATGATTCATATAGACAATCATGATCAATTATAAAATATTAGATGTTTTTTGTTTGAATTAGTAAATGAGCCCGGATATTTGAATTAATAAACGAGTCCAGATATTCTTAGATTTGACTCGTAGGTTTTTTTCATTCTAAAGGATGATTATCAATGAAATTAAGGTTAAAAAGGTCAAATTTTCTCTAAATTTTAGTTCATTTGAAAATCCGAACTTTTAATTTTGATTTTAACCTTGAACTTAAAAAAAAAATTAGTTTATCCTATGATTTTTAGTTATCACCTCTCTTTTTTTAAAAAATTAATTCTTAGTATTTTGAATTGAAGTTTTGCATATAAGTTGGAAACAATCTAGCCTATTTTCCGGAAAAAAATCTCGAATTTTTTAAGATAAAAAAATATATATTTTTATTTATTGAATATTAAAAATATAAAAAATTAAAGAAATAGAAAATAATCCGAAATGATCTCAAAATTTTTAACAAGCCCCACATAAATTTAATTAATAATTTCCATCATGGAGCTATTTGTAAGATTTTATTTTTTGAGTTAAATGATGAAAAACTAAAAATTGATTAAGTCCAAAAAAAAGTTTTAATGGCTTTTGTTCAATCAAACGCTCTTGCTTAAAAAGCTCTAGTAGCCGGTGCTTCCTATTGATGTGACGAGTAACTCGAGATGGAATCTCTAAGCACACTCTATTGCATTGCACAAAAAAGTCAAATGACCAGACCGGACTAGTTAGTTTTTTCGAGTACCTTTAAGTTTGTCTCATGCTTACCAGCAGTAACCGCTTTGTCATGACTTTCTTCATCACATGTTAATCGGTGAATCTTTTATGTAAAGGCTTGGATTTAGGTTATTGTCCGATCAAATGAACGCTCCTTCACGAATCCGAACAAAGCTCGCTCGGCCATCCAAACATCAACGAGTCTCCAAGCTAGGAATGCATTTCCATATGATAAGAAGGGGACCATCTACTTAGCCACAATCTACTCACGAAGACATAGAAAGAAAGGGCGGTTCCAAGGTTTGTGGAAAAATTTTATAACACACAAGGAGTAATTAATGATATATATAATAATTATTCTATGAACTTATTTTAAGAAAAGAGATAGACAAAAAAAAATAATAAAAGAGAGAAAATAAAAAAAATTAAACGAACGTGAAAATCTTCTTTATCGCTTTTAGTGGATCCGGATGTAATTCAATATGTTTATATCTCTTCTCAAAATGGATTCATAGAGTAATTATTGTACATGTCACTAGTTATTTCTTGTGTATTATAAAATTTCTCGGGTTTGTGACTCTTTTGGTACGGTTTGTTATTTATAATTTATTTTAATAAAATTCAGAAATTAATTTTTAAATATATTAAAATTTAAGAAAAATTTGGCTCTTTTAAACTAAATTAAATTAAATGTGTTGGAGTTTTCCCTTATTTCTTTCGGTTGGGTTATTGGCGGCAACTATACATTGACTTCAAGATATATACATATAGGTGTTGTTTGGTAATCGGGAATAGAGTGATGAGAATGAGAATGCGAGAATCGAATGAAAATTAAGGAATCGAAATGGTATTTGTATTCAAATACCGTATTTGGAATACTAATAAGGAATCAAAATGCAATTTAAATTTTTTTAATATCTAGTTTTTTTATACAAATAAAAATAATTTTATTAAACTATAATGGTTGTAAAGATAATAAAGGTGATGATGTCGATGGTGGTTATGATAATGGTGGTTCTAGTTATGGTGGTGGTGACGATAAAGATTGCGGTAGTGGTGATGATGGTTGTGATGCTGATGATGGTGGTAGTGGTTGTAATGATGATAGTAATGGTGATGGTGCTCGGTGATAATGATGATGGTAGTGGTGGTTGTAATAGTTGCGAGTGGCAACGGTTGTGATTGCGATGGTGGTGATTATGATGGTTGTAGTGGTGATGGTGATAATGACGGTGGTGGTTGTGGTTGTTATGATGGTGGTGGTGGTGATGGTGATAAAAGTAATTAATAGACAATAAATAAATAAAATATACTATTATTAATTTTAAAAAAATTCATTCTTATTCCTTGTTTTTATTCCCACATCTTATGTGAGAATGAAGTTATGTGTAAATTTTCATTTTCATTTTCACTCTTTATTCTTATTCCCACTTCATTTCTTTTAATAAAACAACTACAATGTGAGAATAAAACTTTCATTCTCATTCCTACCACTCTATTCCCGATTACCAAATAGCACCATAGTACATGGTGAAGAGAAACAAATGCGGGGTTCCAAACAGGAGAAACAAATGCAGGGTTCACAAAATATATGTGAATGCAAATCCAATCTTCCATTCTCACATATCTAGGAAACAAAAACAAGTACTATTGACAACATTCTTATCTATTTCTAACTCCATATGTATCACTTGGAAAATGTACGTGTACTCGTATAATCAATAAACATTGTTTGCAAAGCTTGATCGTAAATTAACCAATGCAAATGATTATTACCGTGCTTTGTTGGAGAAAATAAGTTGTAGTGTAGAATCTACACCCTTATTTTTAAGTTGTTCAAATCATATCCTTAATTAGCCTTGTTGTTTTTCCTATTCCATACTCCCAGCTGGGAGCCTAAAAGATAAGAACTCTTGAGGTTAGGAAATAACAATTGTTTTTCAAGAAAATAAGAAATGCGAATTTGTTGTCACTGCTAGCTGTGCTATATATATTTATATAATTCACACATTCAAGAATAATAGCAAAATTAAGATTTGAATCAATGAATTCTTGCATATAAGCAAGAGTGGTGTTATCCAGATTTATCCCTCGTTTTTTGGTTTTGAAAACCAACACCAAACCATAAGACCCAAGGAGCATTTGTGAAATGCGAATTTTATATGCAATATCATAATTTTGCATATCCTTACAAGTCCGTAACATTTTTTTAAGTTGCCTTGCAATTTTTTTTTTGGGTAACAATCCTATTCATGTCGGTAAAACACAATTAACTTGGTCTTTCAAGCTTTAATCTTTGATTATTTTTACTCGTTATTTTAACTTTAGTCTTTCTTATCGCTAATTGAGTGTATTAAAAACCTCTATTTTCAATTTATCGATAATCGAGTCCCTCCAACCAAGTTCGGTAGGAGCGGTGTCAAGGATTTGCCTACATCATGTATCGTTTGCATTAAAATAAAAGAAAGTAAAATATAAAATATTACGAGAAACAAAGATAAATTTGGTTAAAATTCCAAAATATAGTTAACATTAGAAAAGGATTTGGATCTCATGAACACGACAACGCATGTTTGTGAAACTATTTCATTGATTTGAAATCATTAAATAAAGATGGAATGATTATGAAAAAGAAATAGTTGTGGAAATAGACATGCATTTTACCCTATATTATAGACCCGACAATTGGGTCGGGTTGTGTGGGTTTATGTCGAGTCATTTTGGGTTCGAATTGCTTTAGGTTTGGATTGTATCCGGATTACTATATGCTTGATTCAAACCCAAGCACATCATGTTGTTTGGATCAATTAACTCATGGGTTTGAGAGGTTTTCTTTTTCTTGTTCTTTACGAAAAGAAAGAATTTAACCGTTATTAAAATTAACATAAACACAAATGTCATTAGTGTATGGATCAAGAACCTCACTTCATAAACAAAACTATTTCACATGATACTTAAGCTGAAAACAATAACGAGAGCTGATTATTGTTGTGTGCAAGTAGGCTACACAGGCAACTAGGTAAATTCGGCCTCAAAATGGTTGCTCATCCTTCTAATGATATGAACTTTCAATAAAACTTTCTCAAACTAGGTGCATCCGTATAAATACATGACCTTACCTCACACACACTCCTACACAGACACGTGGAAAAAAAAGGGGTACAACCGACGATAAAACTAAGAAAAAAACAAAGGGAGGAGGAGAAGACATCGTCGTTCACTATCCAACCATCCAACCCGTCCACGTACCTAACCGGCATCATTGAGCGACTGAAACAAAGCAAGTGCCACCGAAGCGATGCCAATCTGGCCATCGTAAAGGCCCTATATGAACAAGTACGGTAAAAGATCCATCTTCCACGTGCCTTCCACACCCAAATTCCATGGCCTTAATTAATACGACATGTTTTCATGCAATTTAGTCCCCATATCTGTCTTTTCATTGCCTTTGATAGTTTGAGGTATGTGTGAACCTAATCCTTCAATTTCAAGTTAATTTTCATCCATATGTGATATGTGAGTGATGATTCAGTGTTTTATGATGTTCTCGTTAATCTTGATCTGATTTGCATTTGAATTTGGGTGAACTATTTAATCCTTTTTTGATTAATTAGACTTAATTGAATATCATAAAACTTAAGACATTGGTTATTTGTTTATGCTAAATGGTTTTTTGGCTCAAACTTAGCATTTATATAATATGTGAACAAATAAAAATTTAATTTGTATACATCTACATGAACAAATGTTTTGGATTTAACATGAGTTAAGTACTACTATATAAATATTATTTTTCTTTATTTTTGCTAAGAAGTTCCTGAAGAAATTTTGTTAAATGATGGTGGTAGCAATAAAATAGTCTTTTTTTATATTATTATATGATAATAAAATCAAAATAAGTTAATATAAATCAATAGGTCAAGAACTTTCTAGAGGTCAATTGGCTATTTTAATTTTTGTGTGGTCATCTCCATATAATCTTGTGGTCGTTGCATACTTGATTTGCTTATATTTTGTACTTAATGTGATAATTTGATACGGTGTCAGCTTAAGTTAATCTAGAAGGATAGGTTTAAAATTTAAAAGCAATTTGGTTCTGATAATGAAGCTTTATCTATATTGTGAGTGGGCACACGTGCAGTAGAAAAAGAACATAATGAAAGGCTACTCTTAATGGTCCAATAGAACGCTTTCATTCCAGATTTTTTTTTTCATTATGATACTGAAAAAGAACAAAGGAAAAGGCTACTTTTAACGGTTAAAGCAAACCCTTTCATTCTAATTTGTTTTTTTATTGATGGCACTAATTTTGTCATTCTTGCATATTTACTCTAAATTTGATATTAGACTTCAAGTTCAATTATATTATTTTTAAGTGATATGACCAGCTGATACGGTTTAAAACTCTTGTCCTTATTATTTAGATTTTCTATCATGAATTTGCAATTTTACTTTTATGATTTGGTTGAAGTTGGGCCAAAGGCACAAACTTGTTTTTTTTTTTATTCTATTTTTAAATGTTTATTTGAGTTTGGGTTATTTAATTTGTTTGAGTCCTTATTTCAACCTTTTAAATTGTAGATGAGAGATTGAGTTTTATTTATTTATTTATTTATTTTTTGTCTTTAAATCATTTCATCTAGAATTAAGTAGAAAAAAATTTAGTAAACTGCAAATCAAGACAGACAAGTGAGTATAAAAATTAAACTCTTAAGACTAGTCTATAGTTTTTTTTTTTTTTCAGTTTTCACATTTAAAAAAATTAAATAACGACTCTATATTTAATTTTGAATCATGTATTTCATGATTACCTAAGCTTCAACATGTGACAACTATGATAATAGAAAACTATATAGCTAGATCCATGACAATTTATATCCCATTTATTCAAAATAAAAAACCAAAGAAAGATCTAAAATGGAATTCTAGATCTAAGACAAAAAAAAAAAAAAAAAAAAAAAAACTATTGAAAGAAACAAGAGAGAAAAAAACAACAAAAGAAAGAAAGAGAGAGGGGAGGGAGGGAGGAAAAGAAGCGGTGAAGATTTTGATGCGGTAGGCTGCAGGTCCCACAAGCCAACGGGAATGTATTTGGTTTTTTTTTTCATATTATTAATTATATTTAAAGCAATATCGATAAAGTTTAATTTTTTTAATAAATATAATTTTAATATTCAAACTCAGTACATTAATGAAAAATTCACCTGAATAGATTAGCTTATTTACCATTGGACCAATGACTTGTTGGTCTTTACGTGCATAAATATATAGTTAGAATTTTTATGTACTAATTTTCTACAATTAATAGTTCATTTGTAGATCAAGTTTAGAATTCGATCTTTATAATCAGTACTATATCCGAGATCGTGCATTGAAAAATGTTCTCTAACAACGTTCAGAAAAATATTAATTTTGAAGTGCGTAAAAATTGACCTAAAGACATTCTTACTCGTAGAACCAAATAATAATAATAATAATGTAACTTTATCATTTCCTATTTTGACTAATTCCTCGGTAAAAAAAGAAATTTTGAGTGACTGCAAATATATAATTACTTGTATTTGATATGTAATAATATTGTTTTATTATTTCATAAATTTGGAAGCATTATATTTATATTTCCTCTTAAGTACTCCAATTAGAAGCTTACGGTTGTATATATATTTGTACGTAGTCTCCAATGTTTGTTTTCGTTTCTTAGAATCAGTTCTCCCGTTATGAAAACTGTTTCGAGACGTACATTTTCGTATGCTTTGGCCCCCTGTTATCCTTTCCATGGATGAAGAGAATGAAGCAGTTAGGACATGAATAATTATTATTTTTTTCTTTTTTGCAATGCTTAAATCATCAATGCTTTATTCTTTATTAATCTGAAAAAGAAGACACATCCTTCTCAACAGCAGACAATAAAAACGAGGGAGGCTCATCTAGCCCCAACCTCCAAAGTCTTCTGAAAACAAGCATATTTCATTTTTCTTATATTATATTATATCATGCCACCCTTACATTAAGTCATAGATGCATTGTATTAAAATATAAAAAAATAAACTATGCGGTTAGTTTTTCTTTTCTTTTCTTGTCTTTCTTTCCAAGAATCGGAGTGTTTAATCACTACCAGTCAACTACGTTAATCAAATAGCAAATGTCTCTATCAAGTATAATATCGACCATATAAAGCGAAATATTCTCCCTCTCTCTCTCTCTCTCTCTTTTGTTAAAAAAAAAAACAGTGAAGTATAAAGGATGTATTCTTACATAAATATCTAGTTTCTTTTTTATTTTTTGGAGCTGACATGACACCAAGTTTCAATGGGCTGAGTTGGAACACAAATGTCATTAGTTTGCTACGACGAACCCCACATCCTCAGGGATTGCCAGGGGACTGGAAGATTAACTGTTTGATCGGGCTTCATGGACTGCTCAAAATACACTTGTGCTTCAAAAGAAATACCAACCTAGAACCGGTCAAAACTGGAAGGATACTTGCTCTTGCAATTATGCATGGCTGTGATTTGATGATTTCAGATCTTAGGGTAGAAGAGTACATAATGAAGTTAAATATATAGTACTCTACTTTTACCATGCAAAGCTGAGGGATATATATAATGCAAGGGGAGATAAATATATTAAGAAAACTCTGAAGATGACCACGGAAGAAAAATAGAAGAGAAATCAACTTGGACCTCTAAAGGCAAACTTTTAGTAGCCAAGCCCATTAGCCGATTTAGAAGTCCGAATGAAGGATGGATGAGGCAAAGGCATGCAGAGATAAATGAAGTCCAAGATGTGTAAACTTAACAAGCCCGTTAACTAATGCCTAAGAAACTTGATCAGCATTTCAACAATTTTGACAACTCGAATCAATTTTAAACCTAGTGAAAAAATCACGAAAAAATTGCATGGTTTTTTTCAGATTTCTCTTCAAGGACAAGTCTCCGATGGTGTCCTGCCAATGATTCCATTGAGCCCCTAGTGAAAAAATACAAAAAATATAGCATGCTGTTTTCAGTTTTCTCCTCAAGGACAAGCTCCAATGGTTTCCTGCCAATGATTCTATTGAGCCCACTTTCTTATTGTCAATTTTGAAGACTCGAGAGAAGAAATTAAGAAGTTGATATTGAAACCAATCATACATTAGAACTTGACATCTCAATCAATTAATGTCTATAGGAAGTTTGGCTATTAGTATATCTGCTGCACCCAGTTAACTAAAAGTGTTTTTCAATTCCAATCACAAGTCAACACATAGCAATAATACATTATATGCTGATTGGAATATCAAGGATATAATCACAATTGAAAAGCATTGTCTAAGTGAAAAGAAATGCATTCTTAAACTACTAAGAGTAAAAAATGTCTTTGAGATTGCAACAAAAAATGATGTTCTTTTTATAACAGTCTTCTCTGAATTAATTTCACATTCTTTTCCATTTTTGAAAAAAGGAAGAAAGAAAAAAATAGTTATAAAGATGGAAATTTAATTATCAAAGAATAAAATTTTGGGAGAAAAAAAAACTAGATTAAGGATAGTCCATTCTAGTCAAAAAACTATTCAATCATTTTTAATACCAAAGACCTAAATAGTAAGTTTTAATAAAATACGGGGACTAAGCCATGACTAATACGCTAAACGACTTGGGGAAACATTGTTCATCCCACTGTGTGTTTATCCACTCAAATTTCACTATTTATTTACTGTGCGCTTTCGCAGTTAGCTAAAAAATGTGCACTTTGGTCCCTCATTTTTTAACAACGTTTTTCTGTCCGCAATTTCTTTTTTGGTTCGTTTGTGATTGCTGATGTGGTTTGATTTGTGGCTGCTGTTCGCTACTGTGGTTTGCTGGTCGGTGAGGGTTCGGTGGCTGTGAGGTTGGTGTGGGGTCCAGTGGTTGAAAGTTTCGGCTGTGCGACTGTGGATGAAGGAGGAGGAGGCTCGGTTCAAGGATGAATGAGATGAATAGTAGCTGCATTTTTTTTTCTTCAATTGGGAGAGATAGATGAATAGTGACTCCTTTTACTAGTTTTGGTGGAGAGGGTGGTGTTCCGTGACAGGACGGTGCGGTGTGAGGAGGATTTTTGGGGAAGATGAAGCTAGTCCTGGTGGAGGTCAGGTGGAGGACAATGAAATTTGGTGAAGATGAAGCTGGTTTCTGGTTGGGCTGGACGAAGAAGATCCCAATCTGTGGTGATGAACAGTGGTTTGGTATTTACAGGGGGAAATTATGTATAGGAAAAAGTTTAATTTTAGTCCTTATTTTGTACGTGTTTCTAAATTTCGCTCCGTTTCCCTTTAATATGTTTTTATCATGCCCCTAATTTCAATTATTCAGGCTCTTTTCTTCTTAATTCTTTCAATTGCACTTTTTTTCAATTAAAAATCTAAGGTTTTAATACTTTCAATTACAACCTTAATTGAGTTTTTTATTTTTATTTTGTTTTAATTTCTCAAGTCTTCTCAATTGGACCTAGATAATTTTTCAAATAGCTATTCCCTCTCCTTCTCTCTCTCTCTCTCTGTATTTTCTTAAAATCCACAAATGATAAGATTCTATGAAAATCTCAACAAAAAGGCCCAAAATAAGATGAGATAAAAATATTTTTATTTTATAGAAAAATAAAAAGGAAAAAATTAGATGATAACAAAAAAATATTTTTTTAAAATGCATATATTTTTTTAAATTCTTGATAAATATTTCAATTTAAATTATTATAATTTTTATTTAAGAATCAATGCAGAAAGAAATATAAATCATATTTTTTAAAATGAAAAACTTAAAAAATAAAAAAATAAATAAAATATTTTTTTATCCAACCTAAAGCGCGTATAAGTAAAAATGCATGCATCTATTCCTATTCTATGGTCCTCATTGGTCAATTAGATCATTCCTTGACTTGTCTACTATTGCATCTGTAATTACGCTGTCACACCGGCGTTGAAATTCAATCATAGCCATTCATTCTATTACATGAAGATAATCAATGGCAAAGGGCAAAGCAGATGACAACATGAGGAAGATTCGTTACGAAGTCTACGTTAATTTGTTTGTTGAATGGAAAACTTAAACACTAGCATTTTCCTTAACTGCAAAGGATTCCCAGGTATATATGGAGCTGCTTCCTTTTCTTCTCTATCATCCCACCTACAAGCAAATTTATCTTCATCTCATTGCCGTCTTTTGCCTTTATCAACTGTGAAATGGTGAGTTGCACACTTGTAGTTGGTCGCTGGTTTTCGTGCGTTTTCAATTGTTAATATTAATTTACTTCTAATTTTCTAATGAAATTGTCTTAATATCTACTTTCAAAGTTCAAACATTGTTTTTCTGACATGATTATTTATTATTATTATTTTAAGAAAAACGAACAAAGTTGGCCATTTCAAAACTTCAGTAGTATGACGAGATATTGGCAAAGTTTTCACCAATTTAATTTGGTTTGTCAATTTTTTCTTAATTTGTTTTACTGTCCACTGCATACATTTGACTTGCGCATCTGACCTCATTTTCTAAATGCAAAAAGAAAGGAAGAAAAATCATAGGGAAGTTTGTGCGTTGGATTTATTTAAACTTTATTCATTTCAGAATCTGCTTTTTCTTTTTGTACTAATTGTGTTATTCCTGGTTTGGCATGCATCTGATACTGGGCAGGCTCTGACATTGAAAATTGAGGTACGGATTCTGGGTCACTCGTTTGTGTTTTGCAACTACTTAATTGTTTCACAAAGATTTTACATGTGTGTGAAAACCTATCAGTAATTTATTAAATATGTTTCTTGGTACAGCACGAATTTACACAATTATCTGAAAGGGTAAAATCTATAGATCTACATCCAACACAGCCATGGTAACCAAAATTTCTTTTCCCATTTTATTCTAAGTAAATTTTATAACTTCATATTTGTACTAAGCCGAAATATGATTTACACCCACACGTATCTTTCCATGCAGGATTCTAACAAGTTTGTATTCAGGAACTGTTCGTATCTGGAACTACCAGACACAGGTTAGGCCTAGCTATCATTCTTATGCTTCTACCGTTAAGACTGTCTTGTTTTTGTCAGTTGAATCCCTCTATTGCTAATTAACTTGGAACTTGCATGATTGATGTTAGAAAATGGAAAAGTCTTTCAAGGTCACTGAATCACCAGGTAATTATCTGTACCTTATACATCACTTCTACAGTTACGTATATTGCTAAGCAAAGATTAAGATTAGGTTATCATGGGCACATTCCAATATATACCTTAAACAAGCTGATCAAGTTTCTAACAAATTATTCTAAAAATCATTTTCGAATGTTTTATTCTTGCGCGCAGTAAGGTCAGCGAAGTTTATTGCAAGAAAGCACTGGATTGTAACTGGATCAGATGACAAATTCATCCGTGTATACAATTATGAAACAACGGAGTTGGTCAAAGAGTTTGAGGCACACGGAGATTACATTAGGAGTGTCTCTGTCCACCCTACCCTCTCATGTGTGATGTCATCTTCTGATGACAAGCTTATAAAGTTGTGGGATTGGGAGAAGGGATGGGAGTGCACTCAGACCTTTGAAGGACATTCTCATTATGTAATGCATGTCACGTTCAATCCAAAAGATACCAGCATCTTTGCAAGTGCATCGCTTGATACCACCATAAAGGTATTTATAGGCTTACTTTTTCAAGCTAATTTCTGTTGTTAAAAGCTATTCTTCTGATTTCTTTCTTTCTTTGTTTTGTTTTTGCTCGCAGATTTGGAGTCTTAGTTCTACCGCTCCTGTTGCTACACTAAATGGCCATTCTAAAGGCTTGAATTGTGTCGATTTCTTCATGGGTGGTGACAAACTATATCTATTAAGTGGTTCGGATGATCATACTGTCAAGGTTAGCCAATCAGCTTTTTTTTTCTTTCTTTTTTCTCAACCATGCCTTGATTGTATCTGTCAATAATTTGTGGCTTATATTTTGCATGCCTTTCTTGTAAAATGCAATCAGGTGTGGGACTATGAAACAAAAAGCTGCGTCCAAACGTTAGAAGGTCATACCCATAATGTCACTTCATGCTGTGTCCATCCACAACTTCCTATCATAATTACTACTTCCGAGGATAATACTATCCGTCTATGGGATGCAACAACTTACCGGTAAATTCTTGTTTGAGCAGTTGTTCCTACATTATAAGTTTTTTTAATTTTCTATGATGTCATGCTTACAAGAATTTCACACTACGAATTTTAATTTCTTTTACGGTTAATTCTGCCAATTTTCAGTTTCCAAAACTTTTAAATGTTTTTAATTAAATTTCAGACTCGAGAACACATTGGATTATGATCTTCAGAGAGTTTGGGCAGTTGGATGCAAGCAAGGGTCATGCCAGTAAGTTTCTTTACCAAAAGTTCTGCCCATTTCATGCAAACATTTGAGAAGATATATGTGAACATGTTGAAGTGGTCAATAATACTCTGCTTTCCTAAATTCGCATTTGATGATGCTTTCGCTATAGCAAGCTAATTCCTTGATTTGACTCTTTCATCTCTCAGAGTTGCATTTGGTTGTGACAATGGAACCACCATGCTCAAAGTAGCCCTTGCAGGCGTGACGCCAACACAGTGAAACCTCAGATTCAAGGGAAGACGACGGACTGATGTCATCTACCACAACCGATAATAAATTGTGTTTTGAAGAAATAAAGTCGTTTATCTTCCAAGTGGAAGACAAGACCGGAATAATGTTAGCTACTGAAGTCTTCTGGCTGGCCTTCCTGCTGTTTTCTTTTGTATGATAACGGCCTGTATTGCATTGCAGATTCTCCTAGTTATTGTAATGTATGTATGCTGGTAATGTGTAAAAGATAATAGAGTTATTTCCAGAGGCCTCTAATAGAGAAGAAATTTAGAACTCTTTCCAAATGGTTAGGCCACTGTATGTTTGCGCTATAAATAAAATTAAAAGGTTTTGCCTTTTGTATAGTATATGTACTTTTCAAATTGCTTTAATTAAAGTTATGTATTCTTCTTCTTTTTTTTTAATTGATTGAGTCTATATAATTTTTATTTTGTTTTGTTTTCATCATTTTATTATAATACCTTTAGTTTATCGACTGACGTAACATATCCGTTTTGAATACATGAAACATGTCATAAATGAGATTCCAATAGAGAGATTCACTAATAATTATTCAAAAAGTATAAGAATTCAATCAACATAATTTAAAAAATATATAAACCAAATTATTATTTTCTTTTTTAATTTTTTTTTTGTTATTTTCTTAAAACCTCATCTTAAATGGTCATATCACAATAAAATTGTGAATACTATTTTTATTATTATTTTAATAATTTAAAAATAATAAAATACATACAAAACAAACTTAACATGTAATTAAAAAAATATAAATATTTTCGTTAAAATAAAAATAAAAATAACATTAATGCTAACTAGTAGCTAAAAGTCGATATAAAAATAATACAATGCAATTCCTAGTTTTTTTAAAGAACAACCCTATTTTTTGCTTAAAATTCGTCAAACATTTCGAATTTTTTTACTTTCTATGGAAGATTAGGCCCATTAATTAGAAATTTGTAGCTAATCACTATTGCTCATCACCATATTTTTGTTTTAATAATTGCATAAGGTTTTTTTTTCTACTTATTATTTTATTAATTTTAACTTATTACAACAATTAAAAAAAATATTTCAAAGTTTTAATGTGATTTGGTCTCATGTATGATACATTTCGTTCATTTAAGATGAAATTTTTTTAAAAAAACAATAATATAGAAAGTAATTAAAAACAATAATTTAATCTTTGCATTTTTCAAATTGTATTAATTAAGGTCTTGCACTCTTCAAATTATTTTAATTGAGTTATTCTATTTGGAGTCTTATACATGACACATGTTATATATTCAAGAATGAATGCCATATTGTTCACGAATTAACAATATTATAATAAAGGAAAGGAAGCAAAATAAAATAAAGAATATATATATTTGATGGAAAAAAAAAAAAAAAACAGATCTCAATCAAAACAATTCCAAAAATAAAAGGGTCATATATGGATAAAACTCAAAAATTAAACGTTAGTGAATTCATTAGAAGAAATCTATTTCAACTCCAAGAAAAAAAATAGATAGGAGCACAGTAACTACTTACACTTGTTCAAAAACGGGTGATGATCTTTGTGGTTTAAAAAAAAAGCTCTAAAATCACATCCATTATTCCTTTGATACTGATAGACTAATTAATCCCATTTCATTTTAACCTTGAGAATTCCTGCATTTAAGAATTTTTCAATATAAGTAATTTAAAATCCTACTGATGAGGGATAATATTGTTTTCTTATAATCCTTATGTCACTCAGCTACATTTAACATTTTTTTAGAGGGATTTCTTTAGAATATATATACAAAAAGAGATAATTGCATTGTAAGTATAAATTTTGTAACGTTTTCTAAACCAAGTGTAAATTTTAATTATTTTTATTTCAATATACTAATCTTTTTAAAATATTTTTAAACCATCAGTTAAATATTTTTATCAAACTTATGTCAATTGCTCTATTATCTAATGACATGTCATTTATTTAAGACGAGAAAATTATGATTTTTTTTTTCATTTTATTAAGGGAACTTCCCCTCTTAAATTATCTTGCCCTTTTTCTACCTTTTTGATACAAGGACAACATGTATGTTTATTATACAAAAAGAAGAAAATAGTAAAACAAAGTTGGGATGAAAGTTCCCTTCAATAATTAAATAAAAAGAATCATAATTTAATAATTTAGAACAAAGAATATGTCATCAAATAACAGAACAATTAATAGATGTTCAACGAAAAATACTTGATTGACTCGTTTAAAAAAAAATGATATACAAAAAAAATCATACAATTTATTGATTAAAAATTGGTATATTTATAGTTTATATGAAAATCAGCTTTTGAAATTCTAATATCAGCTTTTACTTTCTCCTGAACTTTATTATTATTATTATTATTTTAGATTTTGTCCATCATTTGGTTTTATGCTAAAAATAATAGTCGCATAAATTATCTCGTGATTTCATGATAGCAATTAATCAGTAAGATTCATCTAGGGTTCTTTAAAAATTAGGGATCATTCCAATTTTTATTTTATTTTCTGCATTTTTAAAGTTCAAAAAATAAAACATATACTTTCTAATAACTTTGAAAAATTTTGAGAGTTTCCCAAAAAAAAAAAAGATTATATTTTTTCTAATTTGTGCGTAAAACGTAAGCTCAAAATATCAATAATTGAGTTATTTAAAGAGAAGAGTGGCAACTAAAAATTATATGATAGATTAAATCTCAAAAAAAAAAAAAATAGAGAAATCAAATTCAAAATTAGAAGTTTAAAAATTAATTTTCAAATGAACTAAAATTGAAAAACAGGTTTGGTTATTTTAGCCTCGTACAAAAATGTGTTTGGAAAGCTCCTTTGCAACGCTTTGTTTAGACATTTTTTCTGGCCAAACAAACGATTCCTCTTCGCCCTTTCTCTAATAGAGAGGAGTGGACTGAGTTAAAATCAGTGACATTTTTCCTTGGAGGCTTAGTGGTAGCAAAGATAAAGTGATGAAAAATATAATATCACTAAGTCTTGAAAATGTGTATAAGTCCATTTATAATTTTTTTTCACGAAATTAAATTAGAAAAATGACAAGAAATATATGTGTGATTTTTTGAAAATACAATCATCACGATTAAAGGATATGCGTTATTTGAACTTTATAATAAGTAAACTCTAAATTTCAACCTAGTTTCATATTTATATATTTTTTTCATACTTAAATTTTTATTATTTTAAAAATATTATATTTATTTCGAATCAAATTATTATCAAATCGGATCAAGGTAGATCTAGATTTGACTCATTTAATAAACGAGTTAACGAAATTCGGATCATAATCGAACTCGGATAAAAAAATAAAAGAAAAATGTTTACCGAATCCATTTAATTATATCAAATTCGAATCGAATTCGGAGTCAAAGATTCGATCCATTTACGATCCTAAATACAAGACAAGACTTCTTGGTAAGAACAACATTTTCATTTAAAGTCCGGAATGTTAAACTATTTTAATGGTTTTATTTACTTTTAGTCTAGGAAAAAATATATTTTGTAGATATTCTACCTAAATGTTTGTGTATACAATTCCGTTAAACATGAATGAACAATACTACGAGATTTCCTAGTAAGGAAAATATTTTTCATTTAAAGTATAGAATATTAAAGTATCTTAAATATTTTATTTACTTTCGATCCGGGAATAAAAAAACATGAATAATCTTCACTATTGTATTATTTGCTTGCAAAGGGACAATATATATACAATGAATTAGAATCCCTAAACATTAGAGTCAATCCTTAAAAATATTGAAGTCAATAATAATTCTATACACGATATGATTTACCTTCCAAATATATAGAGCTAATATCCACATATATAAAGATGCAATTGAGGAAGAATATTCTAATAATAAATAAAAATATTCTAAGGTAGTATTTTCATCTTTACTCCCCTTAAGTTGTAGCATGGAGATTGAAAATGCCTAACTTGTCTAACGACGATAAAAATCGATCCCGACCGAGAGCTTTGATGAAGATATCAACCAATTGGTACCGATAAGTAATTGATCATGGCAATAAAAGCTTGAACCGAATATGTTGTCGAACAAAATGACAATCAATCTCAATATGCTTTGTCGACTCATAGAAGACGGGATTGACGCCAATGTAGGTAGTGGTAGAGTGATGAGTAAATGCATAACCGGCCTAATCAACATCATAATAACCTCACGGGGATAAAGAACTATTAAAAGGAAAAAAAATACCTTGACTAGGAGCACCTTTGAGATAAAAAAGGACCCGGATAGCAACATCATAACGAGGTTATCTTGACCGATACATGAATTGACTTAAAATACGAATGACATAACTAATATTAGGACACGTGATCGTGAGATAGAATAAATGCTTAACAAGATGACGATGTTGATTAGGATCCTCGCAAATAATATTAGTGTCAATATGTTCTATAGGTGAGCCCGATGGTTTGCATCCAAGTGAGGTAGTAAAGCCACACCTAGCTAATATGTTAAGAACATCTTATAAGCAATTATGCAACGTCAAAACCCAAAAATTATTTGAGTTTACTAAGATCTTTAATATGAAATGTGGTATTCACATATTGTTTGAGCTAAGAAATTTTAGCAAAATTATTACCCATAATGATCACATCGTTAACATAAATAAGTACAAGCAACAAAAGAATCATACCGAGAATAAGTGAACAAAGAATGATCGGAAAGTGACTCGGAAAAAACCCACCGAAATTAATGAGTGAGTGAATTTTTTATACCGATCATGATAAGCATAAAGAAGCCTATAAAGAGACTTCGAAATGACAAACATGATGCTCCCCCTTTTAGCAAGACCTTGAGGGATTCATGTAAACTTCTTCAAAAAGATCACCATATAGAAAAGCATTGTTGACATCTATCTTATGGATTTCCCATTTAAGGACGGAGGAAATGGCAAGAAGACAATAGACCGTGACCAACTTAGCTACCGGGGAAAATGTCTCATAAAA